AGGAGATGATAATTCACACTATCAACATGGACCAAATCGTAGCTCCCACAAGTCATAATTACAGCCATAGTTATGATTCATACCGTGCCCCAGGGACATACTCATAGCTACAGTCATAATTACGATTTACATCTTCTCCAGGGGCACGGTCATAGTTACAGCCATAGTTACAATTCACATTGTCCCTCAGGAATACAGTCATAGTTACAGTCAATACATGGTCCATGAGATAGAGTTCATAATCATTCCATACCGATCCTGAACTGCACATATGAATACTTTTCAATGATAAGGAAAATCTTTACTGCTAATCCCAAGTATTCTCTATCATAATTTGCTCTATCATAATTTGCTTAATATAATACATTGACATTTCTACTTAATTCATCCTTATTCTATTCTTGGGACGAGTCCTAATTTCATACTTATTCATGCGTAAATTACTCCCAAGTTCTAGAACTCATCAACTTCTAAAAATCTTAATTTATCTAAAATATTAAAAGATGGATCACAACATTTAAACTCCAAATTATTCACATCATAAATTATTTAAATTCTACAATGAGAAAAAAATTTCTCTGTTTTTCTCATTGTACACATTGCTATCAAAATTTGATCAATCGCGACTTCTCTATAATTTCTTAAATAGCTTATTCTCTCCATTTATTATTGAACCAAATCACATATCTAATATTTTTTTAAGGCATTATATTCATTAATAATGTCTCATTTTATATAATTTATCTTTTTAAAGTCGTAATGAATTTCCTCAACCCATATTCTAGATCTCAAGCCCATCATAATCATTCTTGTTTTCTAAGCTATAGTAATTCACTGCCTGGAATATAGTTGACCCTATTTGTTGGGCTGTATACTAGGAGCCCATATAATACTTCATTCAAATTAGTTTATTTGCTTTTGGGCTAGAAGCCCAATGAAACAACCCATTTGTTAATTTCTCAATATTATTAATTCTTTCCTATCTCTGTGTTTTGAATTAATGTAACCCATCAAACTGAATTTTATCCTTCTGTCTTAACCCATTCCTAAGGGCTGGGCTCATTGAAATTTTAATTACTCTTATCCCTTTCCTATAGGCTAGGCCGACGAAATTTAATCTCCTTTTTTTTTTTGCTTAATTTCTTCAGGTTTGGCCCAATTCATCACTGGAATTCCTTTATTCTTCTATGTGCACAACCCATTCAAGTTGGGATTTCCTTTCCCTATTTATTTATTTATTTATTTATTTTTCCTTTCATTAGATTTAATCCACTAAAATTTTGGACCCCTCACTAGGCCCATTTTACTTATGGACTTCATATACCCGACTTCCTTTATAGGCTACTCATTTATTATATATTTATATATTTTTTTACCCTTTCATTTTAATTTTTTTTTCCTCTTCCAACTTAATTACTAAGCCCGTTCTATAAATCCTTATGGGTAAACCCATTAGGTTAAACCAAGCCTGGCCCTCGTGGGTACAATCAACCCGACCCACATGAAGCCCCCTTTCATCTTCTTCAACCTTTAAAAACCCTAATTGCACTTCACATTCAATTCCAACCGCCATCTTCATCACATAACACAACCAATTCAAGTTTTGCTAGTCATCACATATTCCTTCAACAGTATCCACAACAATCAATCCTTATTACGATCCTATAACAAATAATGATCTAAATCAAATATATTAGCTTAAATCTAGGGATTTAGAGTATAAACTACTCTTACCCTCAACGAGGTGATTCACAATGGTATCAACTACTCTTCTTTACCCAACCTGCAAAATCCATCACTGATTTGTCTTTATTTACAAAAGAAGATATTGAACGAGAAGAAAGGGTGCAACTGCAGCTTACCAGCTGAAGGCTAGCCTTGTCGCGACCTACCTTAGCCTTTTGAGGGACAACACGCTGAAAAATCTTCTCTCTTCCCTTTCACTTTCACGTATCTCCCCTCTACTTCTCCTTTCTGTCACCGCTCATTTGCTCATAGGGTTTCTTATTATTATTTTTTTATGAACAAGAACTTTTATATAGTAAACAAGATCAAATTGTAGTTGTCTATTGCGAGATGAGATCTAAACCGTTGATTTTATTTTTAAAAAAATCAAAATGGTGTCATTTTGAAGTAGATAAGTTGATTTCTGAAAATTCCATAATGACCACAAATCTTGTAATTTTAATCATTTGGGCTTCTATTTAATTACATAGTAGACTAAACTCCCAAATTTGTTTTTAATTTGGTCATTTTCCCAATTTTATTATTTATTATTATTATTTTTTTAGATTACACTTTATATTTTTATATTTTTAGAATCCCTTTTTGTTTACTTCCAAAAATTCCCCTAATGCTTAAATAAACTATATGCAGCATGAATTTGCATTCAAATTCTAACTTACGCAAGCTGGGTCATTACATTTACACAATTTGTATTTTAAAAAATAATTAGTTGATTTTAATTGTGGCCTTGGTGTTTGTCGAATGGCACTGAAATGTGAGGAATTCATCAAAACATTTGATGAAAATAGTAAGGAAGGATAAGCTTTCATATATAATTAATGTCATAAATCAATTAGCATATCTCTTTATTGTGTTTTTTTCTAATTTTTTTAATTTATTTTTTTAAAAAAAGGTTCGTAGCAGCATTGGATGCAATAAAAAATGAATTCATATTGATGAAGGAAAAATAAAAATCCTTCTTAAGGTAATATTTTATTTTATACATTTTGTAAAATTTTATTTTCATATATATCTTTTTCTCTTATGGATTTTGTAAAAATTTTAACTAAATTTAAATTTATAGAATTATACAATATGAGTTTTACTTAATAGAAAATCTGTTTTGCCAACTATATAATTATAGCTATTAATAATTATAATGAATTATAACAAAATGGTAGTAGTTAAAACTTTTGTGTTTTATTTAAGATTTACGACTTTTAGTTTCACCGAAGATGTAAGGTTTGCTTTTTTAAAAAAATTAAAACTATTATTTTAAAATATTAAACACGGTAGATTTTGATTTTAAAATTTTCATTATTATTATTATTATTATCATTATTCACTAAATGCGGTATGTTAATTGATGTAGTTGGAAATAAGCACCACCCCTCGCAAGCACAAGTGCACTCCTTTAAATTAACACAAAGTTGGGAAACTCATGGGTCTTTGTGTAGTGCTTTAGGATTGCCGACGTAGTTTGGGATAAACAATGCTAAGGTTCAAGGGTAGTTGAGGATAAGGAAACTTTTGGCTTCTAGAGTTATTCTGAGATACCTATGAGGTACAAGATAGCTTTGCCAAAAGGTTGTGTAAGGTTTTAAAATCGTTCTCACGTTCTAGACCTATCTTAAGACAACTATGAGGTTTCAAGCATGTATTATATCTTAATCAAGCTCTAAAGCTGCGGTGTTACATCTAAATGTTAAGGTTTTAGTCTTTTTTTTTTTAATGTTACGTCGCACTAAGAGAAATTTTTTGTCTTAAAATTTAATTTAGTATAGATTTTGTTTTACTTAGTTATATTACAAATTTTGTACCAAGTTCAAATTTTATACTTGATGAGTATTTCTCTAAGTTTAGGTTATTACTTGAGGATGTTTAAGCTTTCATTCCGCATTTTTTTTTTTTGCTTTTTTGTTAGTTGGATTCATAATTATTATAAGAATAATACATAGTTGAGCTAGAGATGAGTAAGGACTTCTGAAAGATAGATAATTGTTCATGAACCTCCTAAGTTTTTACTTCAGTTACTTGAGCATGATGTTTTTTATTGTCAATGAATAATGATTTTTCCTTAAAAAAATCATAGTTGATTCAGTACTAAAAACAAATACTACTAAATTTATACTTCAATCAAATAATAAAGTATAACCTAATTTGAATGATTATTTAATTTTTTAATAAATAAGTGAATTGAATTATTTATATTTATTGCATAAAATATAGTATTTGACGACCAGTTATGAGAACTGACACTTTAATGAATAATTAGAGTCGATTGATGGTGACTATAATGAAATGCAACAAACACAAAGATAAAAGCTTTGGTATTTTGCAACAAAGTAGATCATATTTTCTCTAGGTTTTAAGACAAAGATGAACTATATATATATATATATTTTTTTTGTACTCCTTTTTATTGATACAATAGTTGAACAACTTTTTTTTTCAAGTAAAGAAATAGATAGGGTGGGCACAAAATGGACACATGAGTTCCTCTATTTGTCCCATATTACTTAGCAACATTTCAACTTTTGTGACTGTCTAAATCAACCCCTAAAATTATATCGTCTATTGTATAATTTCTACCTCTAATAGGACCTTTATTAAAGGTACCATGCATAAATTTTATACTTGATGAATATTTTTCTAAAGTTTGTGTTGTTACTTAAGGATGTTTAAGCTTTCATTCCGTATTTTGTTTCTTTTCTTCTTAGTTAGATTTAAAAGTTTAATCGAATAGTACATAACTTAGCAAGAAATGTAGTAAAGACTATTGAAAGATATATATTTATTCATGAGCCTAAGTTTTTTGTTGACTTGCTTAAGCAAAATGGTTTTTACTATTTATGGATGATGACATCTTGTTAAAAAAAAGTAATTATTATAATGGATACTATTATATTGACTTACATTTTTTAAACTAATATTGTACTAGAAAGAAATACGACTAATTTTGTAAGTCAATGAAATAACAAAGTAAAACTTAACTTGAATGAATTATTTAATCTCATACAAATGAATGAATCAAATGACGTACATTTACTATTTAAAATACAATGTTTTGACAATTGATCACGAGAGCTGATGCTTTAATAAATAATGAGAGGTGATTGATGGCGACTGCAATGAGATGCAACTAATACAAAGATAGAAGCTTTGATGTCTTATAATAGAAGAGATCAAATTTTCTTTAGGTTTGAGTACATAAAGATGAACTATTTTATTTCAAGCTTCTTATTTATTTATTTTGTTAATATAAAAGTTAAATAAGTTTTTTCCAAATAAATGGATAGATTGTTCATGAAATGGACAAGTGGCTTCCTTGATTTGCTGTATATTTATTTCTTAACGATATTTTGACTTTTAGTGACAACCTCTATCACCCGTTAAAATTGTGTCGTTTATTGTCTAATTTTCAGTGGGATTTAAAAGTAACTTTCATTCTACATTTTGTTTCTATCTTCTTAATTGGATGTAAAAGTGTAATCAGATAGTATATAACATACCGAGAGCTGTAGTAAAGAGTTCTTAAAGATATATAGTTGTTCATGAGTCTCAGTTTTTTGTTCACTTGCTTAAGCAGAATGGTTTTTATCCATGATTTTTTAAAAAAAAAGAAGAAGTAAATGTTTTATTGGATGTTATTATACTAACTTACATTGTTTGCATACTTATATAGTACTATAGAGAAATACAGCTAAATTTGTAGTTCAGTCAAATAATAAGGTATGATATAACTTGAAGAAATAATTTAATCTCATACAAATGAGTGAATTAAGCAACGTAAATTTACTGTTTAAAATACAGTATTTAACGATTGATAAGGAAAACTAATACTTCAATGAATAAGGAGAGGTAATGGGTGATGACTGTAATGAGATGTGACTAACAGAGAGAGAGAAGTTTTAGACTCTTACAACAGAGGAGATTGACTTTTCTTTAGGTTTTAGAACATAAAGATAAACTATTTTATTTCTGGTATCTTTTGTACTTCTTGTCAATATAAAAGTTAAATAATTTTTTTTCAAATAAAGAAATGGACAGGTTGTGCATAAAATGGATACGTGGCTTCCTCTATTTGCCGCAAATTTACTTTGTGGCATTTTGACTTTTAGTGACAATATAAATATGACAGTAAAATTTTATCGTCTATTGTATAATTTTTAGTAGCAATTAACCATTCTCAAAGGTGTCTGCCAATATAATGTCTTTTATCAGTTGAAGTAATTTATTTGAAGAAAAAGCATCTTTGTCATTTATACAATATTATAAATGGATTAAATTAAACTATTCTTTTTTTTAAAAGAAAATATTTGTCATAAAACTACTGGTAAAATTAATCCAAACTCGGAATACAAAATACAAAAATATGTAAGTTCACTATTGCATATAATATTGATAATCTAAATATTAATCACTAGAAATGACCTAGATTATTAGAAATTTGTTATAAATATTAAAGTTATTGTTACTTTCAACCGCCTCGGTGAGCACTACAGATTTGAGAAAAAAAAACAATCTCC